TGGGCACTAAGGATACTGCAAGGTGTGACAGTGAGAGGATCAAGAGTGACTACAGGGTTCTGGGAGTATGGGTAAAGGAGTTCAGAGCGCAGGTGGTATTCGCTTCGGTCCTTCCTGACAAAGGCAGGGGCCCAGGCAGAGACACGTGCATGCTGGAGGTGAATGCCTGGCTGCGAAGATGGTGTCACCAGGAGGGTTTTGGCTTCCTTGACCATGGGATGCTATTCCAGGAAGGACTGCTAAGTAGGGATAGGGTTCACCTTTCGAGGAAGGGGAAGACTGTATTTGGATACAGACTGGCTAACCTAGTGAAGAGGGCTTTAAACTAGGTTCGACGGGGACAGGTGACTAAAGCCCACAGGTAAGTGAAGAACATGGAGACCTGGGAGATAAGTCGGAAATGGAAGGGAGTGTGGGCTATAATAGCAGAGAAAAAGGAGTGACAAGGCAGAACTGGGAGGCAAGATCAAATCCGTATCTAGGATGCCTATATACGAATGCAAGAAGTATGGGTAATAAGCAGGAAGAACTGGAAGTGCTAATAAATAAATACAACTATGAAATTGTTGGTATCACAGAGACTTGGCGGGGATAATACACGATTGACAGGGCTTGACAAATCCACTTATCTACTCGCCCATGGCGAGTAGTTGCAGCCAGTCGCCCCATTCACCGGTGGTTCGTGCATGTTGAGTGCAGTGCAGTTCAGATCTCACACATGCGCAGTGCAAGGCTGGCGAGTGGTTTTCACCACGATCGAGCCCTGACAATTGGAATATTGGTATAGAAGGGTACAGCTTACTCAGGAAGGATAGGCAGGGAAAAAAGGGAGGAGATATTGCCTTATATATTAAAAATGTATACACCTGGACCGAGGTGGAGATGGATGTAGGAGACTGATGTGTTGAGAGTCTCTGGGTTAGGCTAAAAGACAAAGGTGATGTCATGCTAGGGGTCTACTACAGGCCACCTATCCCAGTGGAAGAGGCTTTAAAAAAAAAAAAAAAGACAGAGTTTTTCTGGGATACTCCCGTAGTGTAGACATAGTCTAAATCTCAGGCAGGCGCCGATCAGTGTGGATGCACTAATTTAATCATCCAAAGCGCAGGTGGTGGTGATGGGGGACTTCAACTATCCAGACATATGTTGAGAAACTAATACGGCAGGGCACAGACTATCCAATAAGTTCTTGGACTGCACTGAAGACTTTTTATTTCAGAAGGTTGAAAAAGCAACTGGGAGGAAGCTGTTCTAGATTTGATTTTAACAAATAGGGAGGAACTAGTTGAGAAATTGAAAGTGGAAGGCAGCTTGGGTGAAAGTGATCATGAAATCAGAGTTCATGACTCTACGGAACGGTAGGAGGGTGAACAGCAAAATAGAGACAATGGATTTCAGGAAGACACATTTTGGTAAGCTCAGAGAGCTGGTAGGTAAGGTCCCATGGGAAGCAAGATTAAGGGGAAAAACAAATGAAGAGAGTTGGCAGTTTTTCAAAGGGACATTATTAAGGGCCCAAAAGCAAGCTATTCTACTATGTAGGAAATATGGCAGAAGACCACCTTGGCTTAACCAGGAGACCTTGCATGATCTAAAAATAAAAAAGGAGTCATATAAAAAGTGGAAACTAGGACGAATTACAAAGGATGAATACAAGTTTGATGACGCGTCGGGGTTCCCCCGACTCCTGCACCCTCGCAGTGGCACGAACAGACTCCACCAGCCAGTAGGATTGAGGGAGTTTATTGCTTCTCCAAGGATGCAGCACAGCACAGATGTAATCTAGTTACAGGGCCAGGCCTAGGATGCCTCAGCCCCCCTTGAGATGGGGGGGGAAGACTGGGCCCCTAAATCCCAGGCCCCCTTGTTTAGGCTGCTTCCTTCATGATTCCAGACAGAAACTGACTCTCTTCTAGCCCTGCTCCCCCAGACAGGAGCTGGTCTCCGCCTTTCTCCCTTTGTCTCTCTCCCTGGGAGGCAACCTGTCGGACAGGTTGTGAGACCCTTGCCTAGTGACTCATCCGCTGTCCTGTTGGGCCGTGCTACAAACAGCCGCCAGTGGAGGTCACCTACTGCCCAAACCCAGCAACCAGCAAGGCACCACCATACCACACTGGGTTATAGAGCAGACAGCACGCCTCCACTACTTCACAACAAGTAAACAATACAGTATGCAAGGGCAAGATTAGAAAGGCAAAGGCACAAAACAAGCTCAAACTAGCTACAGACATAAAGGGAAACAAGACGACATTCTATAAATATATTAGAAGCAAGAGGAAGACCAAGGACAGGGTAGGCCCACTTCTCAGTGAGGAAGGAGAAACAGTAACAGGAAACTTGGAAATGGCAGAGATGCTTAATGACTTCTTTGTTTCAGTCTTCATCAAGAAGTCTGATGAAGGAATGCCTAACACAGTGAACACTAGTGGGAAGGGGGTAGGTTAAGAAGATAAATTTTTTTTAAAAAGAACAAGTTAAAAATCACTTAGAAGGTTAGATGTCTGCAAATCACCAGGGCCTGATGAAATGCATCCTACAATACTCAAGGAGCTGATAGAGGAAGTATCTGAGCCTTTAGCTAGCATCTTTGAAAAGTCATGAAAGACAGGAGAGATTCCAGAATATTGGAAAAGGGAAAATATAGTGCCCATCTATAAAAAGGAAAATAAGAACAACCCAGGAAACCACAGACCAGTCAGTTTAATTTCTGTGCCAGAAAAGATAATGGAACAAGTAATTAATTAAAGAATTAATCTGCAGACACCTGGATGTTAATAAGATGATTGGTAACAGCCAGCATGGATTTGTAAAGAACAAATCATGTCAAACCAATCGGACAAGAAAATGAGTCCTATGGATAAGGGACAAGTGGTAAACGTGGTATACCTAGACTTTAGTAAGGCATTTGATATGGTCTCACAATAATAATTCTTATCTATAAACTCGGCAAATACAACTTAGATGGGGCTACTATAAGGTGGATGTGTAACTGGCTAGATAATAACTACTCTCTGAGAATAGTTAACTGCTGGAAAGGCATAACAAGCAGGGTTCCGCAGGGGTCTGTTTTGGGACCGGTTCTGTTCAGTGTCTTCATCAACGATTTAGATATTGGCATAAAGAAGACGCTTATTAAGTTTGCAGATTATACGAAGCTGGGAGGGGTTGCAATTCCTTTGGAGGATAGGGTCATAATTCAAAATGATCTGGACAAACTGGAGAAATGGTCTGAGGTAAATAGAATGCAGTTTAATAAGGACAAATGCAAAGTCCTCCACTTAAGAAGGAACCATCAGTTTCACACATACAGAATGGGAAGCGACTGTCTAGGAAGGAGTACTACAGAAAGGGATCTAGGGGTCATAGTGGACCACAAGCTAAATATAAGTCAACAGAGTGACACTGTTGCAAAAAAAAAAGCCAACATGATTCTGGGATGCATTAACAGGTTGTGATCAAAATATGAGAAGTCATTCTTCCACTCAGCTATGCTGTCTACATTGTTCTTTGTCTTCCCCACCAACAAAACCAGTACCCCTACACGTCAAAAGGCAAATATATATTTTTACATTTCACATGAAATTTGAAAATTAAATTTTTTTTATGATAGTGTCTTCAATCTTTTTATACCCAAGATCACTTTTTAAATGTCAGGGCAAGCCCGAAGATCCCACCCCTTTCTAGAGGCCCCACCCTCTCCCTTTCCCTCCTCTCCATCATTTGCTGTCCCCAGCCCTTACTCACTCTCACTGGGTTGAGATGGAATGAGCAGGCTCTGAGGTGGGAATGAGGATTTGGGTGTGGGAAGGGGTGAAAGGTGCAAGCTCTGGGTGCAGGAAGAGGCGGAGAAGAGGCTTCTGGCTCAGGGAAGGGGCTGTTGGGGTGCTGAGCAAACAGGTTTGTGGATGTGAGGGTGCAGTTCAGGGCAGGGGTGTTGGGAGTATGATGGGCTCAGGACACAGATTTGCAGTGTGTGGATTGTGCAGCAGTGTTGTAGCAGAAGACTGAGGATGTGAGACGCTCAGGATATGGCTGGACCATGAATGCTCCTAGACCAAAGAGCCCACGAGCCTAACGGTAGGAGGACCAACAGTCCAGCCAGGGGCAGCGGGGCCAGAGCCCCACAAAAGTGCAGACGCCAGTCAACCCCAGCAGCCTGCAGCAGCATGGGGCTGGAGGCTGAAGAAGCCTGGCTGACCGCAGCAGTGCAAAGCGAATGCTGGAGAATCTTAGCTGCCTGCAGCAGCACATGGTTGGAGATCCGAGAACCCCAGCAACCTATGGCAGCACAGGGCCAGGGGCTGGTTAATCCCCGGCAACCTCTGGCAGCGCAGGGCTAGGGACTGGAGAAGCCCAGGACATCCATGACAACCCAGGGCTGGGAGCCAGCAGCAGCAGGCTGGGCAGCCTGGCTGGGGAGGCATAGAGGGAGCCAGAGGCATGGGGCCAGTGGCAGGGGACACCTCCCCTGGTCTGGAAAATTCTCTTATTCAGGACCATTCTGGTCCCAATATTTCCAGATCAGGGAGATCCAACCTCTATATATTTGTTAGTCTCTAAGGCAGCAGGGTGGGGGCCGGGGGGGAACCTAAGGCCCAGATGCAGCCCCCAGCTTCCCTGGAACCGGCCCCCAAGGCTCAGAGCTCTTCCCCAGCACTTCAGCCCCTCTACTGCCCCTCAGAAGGCCTGAAGCACACAAAATTTACTAGCCTGGGCCTTCCTAGGCTCTGGTGTATGAGGGGAATGTGGAGAATGTCTTTCTGCTTCTCAGTCGGGGAACATGACAATGAGGGTTTGTTTGGGGTTGTTTTTGCTTCTCACTTGTGTGTTGCCCCTGACTGATTTTTCTGTGGGTCAGTGGCCCCTGACCCAAAAAGGTTCCCCAATCCTCCTCTAAGGTGCCACAGGACTACTCGTTTTCAGAGTGCATTTGATTTGAAAACTGAAAATCACTGGACCACAGTACCAAAGGGTCTCATAAGGCAGGGAGATTTTCTTACCAAGATGTAGTCAGCCCACATGTCCCTGGCAGATTTCAAGGCTGCTTGTCTGAGCTTCATCACATGCTCATAGCGAGAATTTGACCAGTGCTTTGGTCCTTCCTCATCCGGATAGGACCTGCCAGGAATTAAGCCATAATTAAAGTTGTAGCTGCATTCCACCTTCCCTACAAGTTACATGACATGGATATGCGGAACTAAAAGGATAGCTGGAATGAACTGAGCACAAGTGTCATAATTGAGAGGTGAAAGGCAAGCTAACTGCAGAAACCACCTTGCCCTCTTTTAGGCACAATGCAGCCCAAGCCGCCTTCTATCAAAGAACTAAGGGTATGTCTATACTAGCTCGTTAATTCGAGCTGGGTAGGCAAATCAGGCAACCGGAGTTGCCTACCTAGCTCGAATTAACGAGCTAGTGTAGACATACCCTAATAGACTTCCTATTTGGTTAGGGAGTCTTCTCCATAGACAACAGCAAGATTTCTGCTCAGTAATGTCATGGAGGCCCTTAAGACTCTAAGAAAAGGGAAGGTATTCGATAGACGTATTTTATTGGTCTGCATGGACCCAATTCAATGCCTGGGCTAACACTGCACATAGAGGATATTCTGTAAGCGACTGATATAGCAGTCGATTGTTCTCACCCACCAGTTTATGAGCATCTCTGAACAATCCAATATCAAACAGCAGCCAATCAAATCCACCACAAACAGTGATTCATATCAGAGCCCTGACCTGCTCTCCAGCACACTGATCCCAAGTGACAAGGACCCTGAATCTTTTACCACAAGACAGATCAGATAAGGAAGCATTTAATGCTGTCTCCTCAGGGCCTGCAGGTTTTGAAAAGGGCAAACTGATTTTTTTCCATATATATTAAATAAATAAGAACAGTGAAGAATTTATATGGGCCTCAAAAGCATTTGGAGACTGGATCTGTTCAGTAATTTACAGACGGGTCTGCAAGGCTGTATGACCGCGATGGGCCTCTAATAGTTACAAAGCAGAGCAGCTTGACTTTCCTAATTGGAGCAAATGTTGCATTAACTATCTTCCCATCCCTGCCAACCATTTCCCCCATCAGAGAGCATGTCCGAGAGACCAAGGGAGGCCACTGGTGGAGAGGGAGTCAGGGCATTTCATGAGGACAAAGGTGGCTCAGTCATTCTCTCATCCCCACTTAGGCTATGTCTACACTGCATGCGCATTCTTGAGCAAGTAAATGTACAGTATGGCATCAGAACAGAGAGCTTCTTGTGCAAGAGTTATTCCTCTTCCCACAAGGAATAAGAGCTCTTGCGCAAGAAGGCAGTGTGGACGGGCAAAATGGCCATCAGAGCTTTCTTGCGCAAGAGAATGTCTACACTGCCATGGACGCTCTTACGCAAAAGCACATCTCTTGCGCAAAAGCACCTGGCTGTGTGGATACACTGTTGCGCAAGAACTCTTGCGCAAAACAGTTCTTGTGCATGAAGCCTGAAGTGTAAATGTAGCCATAGAGTCCAGTGAGGCCAAGATGAAACTTAACAAAAATAGTCATATGCCTCAAAGAAACAAGGATTATCAACAAACTCTATCTTCTTTCTGGTCTAGGGCCAGCCTTTCACAGACCCAGGCTAGGTCCTTTCCAGCATCTCCCCTCCTTTAACCAAGAAGCCAACCTTTTAATTTACCCTTCTGCTGAGGAAATAAATAAACTTGAGCAGCTGTCTCTCTTCCCAGTGAATGCAGATTCATCGGCAGGTAAAGTTAGCCAGGTGCCGGTAACAGTCTCTCAAGCAGGGTCTCACCTGGGCTCCTCCATGGGCCTCCATTCCACAGAGTGATAGAAGGTCTGCACATTTATCAGCCACTCTCGTAGCACAGCTGTCGTGTTGTCAACATTGTGGTCTGTTGCCACCCTGAAAAAAACCCCCAACAGTGACACTAAGTAGGGGCATTCTGGCCCTTTCCCCCATGCCCTGCAAGGGAAACTGGAGCAATGTAGGGATGTAATAGTGTAGTTGATTAGAATCATAGAACTGGAAAAGACCTCAGAAGGTCATCAAGTCCAGCCCCCTGCTCTAGGCAGGACCAAGCCCAACTAAATCAACCCAGCCAGGGCTTTGTCAATCCAAGACTTAATCTCTAGGGATGGAGACTCCACTACTTCCCTAGGTAGCCCATTCCAGTGCTTCACCACTCTCCTAGTGAAACAGTTTTTCCTAATATCCAACCTAGACCTCCCCCACTGTAACTTGAGACCATTGCTCCTTGTTCTGCCCACCACTGAAAACAGCCTTTCTCCAGCGTCTTTGGAACCTCCCTTCAGGAAGCTGAAAGCTGCTGTCAAATCTCCCCTCACTCTTCACTTCTGCATACTAAATAGACCCAACTCCCTCAGCCTCTCCTCACAGGTCATATGCTCCAGCCCCCTAATCATTTTGGTTGCCCTCCGCTGGACCCTCTCCAATGCGTCCACATCCTTTTCGTAGTGGGGGGCCCAGAACTGGACACAATACTCCAGATGTGGCCTCACCAGAGCCGAATAAAGGGGAATAATGACATCTCTGGATCTGCTGGCAATGCTCCTCTTAATGCAACCTAATATGCCATTAGCCTTCTTGGCTACAAGGGCGCACTGTTGACTCATATCCAGCTTCTCATCCACTATAATCCCCAGGTCTGTAGAAGCTGTAGAAACCATTTTCATATTTAGCTAGAAGCCATCTTGTATATCAGAAACCATTTCAGCTTTTCTCTCAAGCACGTAGACCAGAGTGAACTTTCTGTCACCCCGTGAGAAGAGGCCTACAGGATGGGCTATTGGTATGTGTTAATTGGGCTGGTTGGGACAGGAGATGTACTCCCTCGCACCTGTCCGCCATCTTGTTGATAAGGCTTTGTTTTTCCAAATTTAATTGAGGATTTCTGTAATTGGATGCCCTGATGTCAGACTGTTTGGTTAAGGGTATAAAGATACTAGGATTGATTGTATTAGCAGCTTTACTGGGTCTGGCTCTGCTGTGACCACGTTTGGCTCATGCTGTGCTTTATTAATTAATAAAGCTGCTTGTTAGCTGCCTAAACACAGAGGAGCGTGTTTTTGCTTCGACAGGTCCTTTTCTGCAGAACTACTACTTAGCTGGTTGGTCCCCAGCCTGTAACAATGCTTGGGATTCTTCCGTCCCAAGTGCAGGACTCTGCACTTGTCCTTGTTGAACCTCATCAGATTAAAGCTTATAGGTTCATGCTATAGACTACACACATTCCTCTCTCCCCCTCTTCCTGCCAGTAAATTTTTTAGTAGGCTGGCCAGCAGCCTGGCTCAGTCCCGGCTTGTGACAGGCTCGGGACCTACCCTTGCTGCTGCTCTGCATTTAAAGTGTATTAGGAGCTGGGAGGTCAGGCAGCCTGGCTCACACTGTGTCCAGGAGCTCCGACGCCCCCAGACAGGGACTACTGCCACCTTCTCAGAGGCAGCAGCACAGGGCAACAGGCAGCCAGTCCACATGGGGAGCTGGTTTTTAAATTGGCTCCCCTCGCAGACCAGCTCCTGCCTGGCACCCCGAACTACTGCCTCGGATACCCTGGCTGCTGACCCTGCCCCCAGGGACTATAAAATACTTGACTAACTGATGAAATTTCATGAGGTTAGTCAATTAACCAACTTAACATCCCTATTCCTTTTTAAAAAAAAATAAAAATAATGGAGATTACCTATCTCCTAGAACTGGAAGGGACCTTGAAAGGTCATTGAGTCCAGTCCCCTGCCTTCTCAGCAGGACCAAGTACCATCCCCGATGAATTTTTGCCCCAAATCCCTAAATGGCCCCTGCAAGGATTGAACTCACAACCCTGGGTTTAGCAGGCCAATGCTCAAGCCACTGAGCTATCCCTACTAATTCTTCAGAAATAATTAGTAAATAGCACCCCTCTGTGGGGGATCACAGCAGGGAACAAGGGCTGCTGGACTCAGTTTGGCTCATGCCAGGTCCAGGACCTTTTCCCACTATGACTCTGAAGTTTAAGTGTAGTAGGAGCTGGGCTGTCTGCCTGCCCAGCTCTTACTATATTTAAGCTGCAGAGCAACAGCAGGCAGTAGCTTGGTGCAAGCTGTGACTGAAGCTTCCTCCGTTATCAACTAATCATGTAGTAGATAGAATCCCTAGTTTGCAGTAACTCCTTGGCTGTGTCTAGACTGGCATGATTTTGCGGAAATACTTTTAACGGAAAAACTTTTCCGTTAAAAGTATTTCTGCAAAAGAGTGTCTAGATTGGCACGGATGCTTTTGCGCAAAAAGTGCCTTTGCGCAAAAGCATCCGTGCCCAGTATAGATGCGCTTTTGCGCAAGAAAGCTCCGATGGCCATTTTAGCCATCGGGCTTTCTTGCACAAAAAATTAAGGTGCCTGTCTACACTGGCCCTCTTGCACAAGTATTCTTGCACAAGAGGGCTTATCCCTGAGCGGGAGCATCAAAGTATTTGCGCAAGAAGCACTGATTTTGTATATTACAAAGTCAGTGCTCTTGCGCAAATTCAAGTGGCCAGTGTAGACAGCTGGCAAGTTTTTGCGCAAAATCTTGCCAGTCTAGATGCACCCCTTTTGTTTCCTTCTGTTGTAGGGCAAACACCAGTGGGAATTTCAGAGCAGGTACCTTCCCTGCTGGCAACACCACCTGCCCAGCTCATCCATGTAACAGCCATGTTCTACTCATGTCTAGTGGCACTGAGCCCTGGCTAGACGCACATGAAACCGTTAAAGCCCAGACAATATGGTGGCAAGTGTTTCACAGGGGCCAAAGTGGATTTAAAGTGCTAACTGGCAGCCTAGAAAAGGTAACTGAACCATCATAAGAACATAATAGTATGATAGTGGTTGAACAGGAAACAGCCTGGGGTCTCGCTGGACTTCTGCCTGTTCTCAAGACAGGCCCCAGCAAAGTGCAAGTGAAAGCAGGTGAAGATAGTCACTTGCGTCTCACCAGCTCCCAAAGTCACTGCAGGGCCCCTAGTGCAGCAAGGGGAGAAAATCCAAGGTGGACCCAAGCCACGCCAGCCATAGGCATTGAGTTACATGAGACCATGGTGCCCAGACACCAGGAATAGCCCTGGCCCAGGGCCCCTGATCCACCAACATTTGAGTCTGGGTCTCTTCCCCAGTCCAGTCTGCCAGCCTGCACACATCCCTAGACTTGCCTGCTGCCCGCATGCAGCGACATCGCCCTATCCCAAGAGCTGTAAGTGCCAGCAGCTGTGTAGAGTGAGCAGGCAGGAAACTGCTCTAGCCTCACTGTGCTGCCAATGGTGGTGGTAGTGGTGATGGCGGGGGTCCCCCAGGTAAATCTAAATCACTCAGGAGCAGCAGGCAGGCTGTAGAGACATAGGGAAGAAGGGGGAACTTGCAGGGCAGCAGAGTAGAGAGCCCAACCCCTCACGAGTGACTGCCAGAGAGAATGTCTCAGATACACAGCCCATCCTAATGTATTCTCTACTCCCTCCCAGAGTTTACACTCTCCCCCCACACTTCTTCTGGCCCCAAATTCCCAGAGCCTACAACCTTTGCCCCCTCCTGCACCCAAACGTCCTCCCAGAGTCTTCGCTTCTTTCTGAATGCCAATCCTCTGTCCCACCCAGAGCCTGAACCCCAGCTGCCCTTCTTCACCCACATTCCTTCAGAGTCAGTTCCCAACCTTTTCCAAATGGGTACTCATTTTTACAATTCAGGAAGACTTGGTGACCCAAAGCAATTAAAAAATGGGGAGAAAAGAGAGGGCAGAGCCACCTGGGAAGACACTTGGCAACCCTTTTTAAATGTAATGGCGACCCATATTTGGGTCCTGACCCATAGATTGGGAAACCCTGGTCTAACCCCTCCTGCCTCCCACCCAAGCTCCCTTCCAGAGACTTAAGCAGGTGGGGGGGACAAGGAATTTGGGAGGGGGAAGGACCCAGGATCGGGGCATGCTAATTTATGCCAACCTACTGCTGCTGCCTGAGCAGGGGACAAGGAGAGGCAGGAAGGAGCCAGCCAGGCCCCATGGATGGGGCGAGGCAAGGGACAGGTATGGGCGGGGAGGAGCCAGGCAGGCCCCAGGAGCAGGAGAGGGAGGAACCAGACAGGGCTCAGACAGGGTGGGGCAGGAAAGGATAGGGAGGAGCCAGGCAGGCCCCAGGAGCAGGGCAGGGGACAAGTAGATGGAGGAGAAGCCAGGCAAGCCCTAGGTAAA